ATGCAGGTATGTTCACTGAGTTGACACGCAGGGATGTTCACTGAGTTGACACGCAGGGATGTTCACTGAGTTGACACGCAGGGATGTTCACTGAGTTGACACGCAGGGATGTTTCCGCAGTTTCCAGTCGTTTTTGTCTTCTGATGTCAACATCGATCTCGTGTACTTAAATAGCTTTAGTTAATTAGAAAGTGGGGTGTCCGTGGTGAACAGAAGTAACGCTTAGTTTGAGAACCTTTGTAATTTATAAGCCTGCGTAGTGTTGCCCCAATCTGTGCTGAGTGTAGGTAGTCGATCAACTGGCCTAGACATGTAAGAGCATTACCGTCGCCCCAACTGGATGGGACCCGTTAACCTTGGATGGTAACTCCTCTAAGAGAAGGAAAACACTGAAATGAAACCCGGAGATGGAGACCCGTAGGCGGTATGACATTGACATGATGAACATTTTGACAACTCCTGCGACGTGGCACGAAAGCGCACAGTGAAACACACAAGACACGCACTGCTGATCATCTACTGATTGAACTTTGAGTTTGAATAATGTGTTCTGCAACGTCAGACCCACACTACAGCTAATCGTGTGTGCTAGAATAAATGAACGCCTCTGATTTTATTTAGAATAATAATGCTAAAACCCCCCGCCCCCCCCCCCCCCGGATGCCAATCACTGAGAGTGCAGTGAGCCAGCTAAAAATAGTCTGGATACCTAGCGCTATATAAGTATTCAATCAAATCAATCAATATAGTGTATCACATGCAGTGACTTGTTTAGCGCTAACTTTCCGTCGGAAGAGTCCCGTTTTTCGAAATTGGAATGTTGAGCCACCTTCGGTCCCAGTCAGTTCGGTTAATCGACGATTATAAACAAGGGTGCTCCACCCACAACCCGCGGGCCACATGTGTCCCGCCACGTCAAATTTAGCGCCCCACGCCCCACCCCCTTCCTGGGAGTTGCCCGATGTATTACAATGGACGTGTTCGCTCTTCAACTACATTGACAAATAGATCGAGTTTAAACAAGAGGAGTGAGAGAAAATATCAAATGTTCTTACATTGGTTTCGTTTTATTATGTTTTATTGATTACCATTTTATTCAGTACATTAAATATATATATATATATATATATAAATTTCTATGAAGCATTTTACATATATATATATATATATATATATATATATATATATATAAAATTTCTATGAAGCATTTTACATATTTATACATATATTGTGTATAATGGCATGAGAACCGTGAATCTTTTACTCGCGGCCAGTGAAGCCGTTTGGGTTGGCTGACCCGATGTTAGACTTGGTGAATATTTCAATGTACGCATAAATGTATGGGTGAATTGACAGTTGCTTCTATCTTACGTATGATATAACTGTGGGTTTTTTTTTGTTGCTGTACGCTCTAAATTCTCATTTACATTCCATTTCATAATATTATTTACACACACACATATATGTATGTATATATGTTATTTTTACATTAAACTTGCATTTAACTTTGTTAACAAATTGTACGACCAATAATTGGGTCGGTGTTGTTTTGCAAACAAAATGACCTGAAGTCGGAGTTTCGTCCACCAGGAGCTGATCTTGTGCTCCGTGATGACGTGTTACTTCAGCCTGCTCAGCTCCCTGGCACCCAGCTACATCTGGATGCGCGTCCTTCGTGGGTTGGTGGGATGTGGGATAGGTGGAGCCCCAAAAGCGTTAGTAAATTCTATTCTATTCACAATAATTCCAATATATATATATATATATATATATATATATATATATATATTCTTTACAGAATAGCTTTAAAAATGTTTAACAGTTGTTCTAGTTACATCCCTGGTAATATGATCGATCTAATTATAAATCCTTGTAAATGAATATATTTGGGAACATTTCAAAGGCGTATCCATATTAATATTTCATATCTCAGGAAAGTCAAGGCTGCGTACTGAGCTTGATCTCTTGAGACAAAAAAACACAACACGAACCAAATGGTTTTAAAGTGCGCCTCGCAGACACACGGCCAGTGTTTCTTTCAGACAATTTGTTCCGGGAGAGAGGACCATTTCAGATGTTAGGGTGGGATGTGTCAGTGGCGTAGAAAGAGGGTGGAGGAGGCTGTACGCCCCTGGTGCACTTTTTTATTTCGTGAAAGGTGGACTTTGTGGCCCATCGCAGTTTTTAATCGTGGAAAGTGAGAGAAGGGGTGGGGGGGGGGTAAAAATCTTTGCCCGCCAAGACCTGCACTTATCCTAGCTACGCTACTGGGAGCCAAAGCTAGACATAAAGAAAACCAGGGCCAAGTAAAACGCCACCTATGCCCCAACATAACTAAATTCGCTCCAGTTGTGGCACCCCCGAGGGTATATTTTTGGCACCCAGCTAAGCTTCACCCTTACATCGTCCAACTAGTAGCACAGAAAATAATCTATTGGTCAGTTCAAGCAGTTGGTGTAGTTAAAACTGTGGCGACATTTTCCTCTTGATTAGGATAGGTTGGAAGAAATCGAGGGAGCGGATGGCTCCCAAACAAACGTGTTGAGGCTGTGAGCCCATCCCCCAGAAATCCAAATATATCAGAACTGTTTTTGATTCCAGTATAATCTAATATTCTGAGAGAAGATAATTTTGAGACAAATCTTCTATAAATATTGCAATAAAAAAATAACTCAAACTTTGTTTTCCAAGCAGAGTTACACTCCTGACGGAATTCCTCCCCACGCAGTCGAGGGCGACTTGCGTGACCCTGATAGAAATCTTCTGGACAACGGGGGCGTGCTTCGAGGTGCTCCTCGCCCTGGTTGTGATGCCGACACTCGGATGGCGGTACCTGCTGGCGTACTCGGCTCTCCCCTTGTTTCTCTTCTGCGTATTTTGTATGGTGAGTAAATTGTAAGGAAATCTTTGGTTTTAAAACTGTGTAATGTAGAAATGGCTGCCGCAGTGGGAAATCTTTGAGCTTGGTTTCCATTTGGTTTTACAGAGGTTTATCTTTAAATGCTTCTTTCCTACCTCAAATCAGGATCAAGTGTTAAAATACTGGATGAAATATAATTTAAAAGATTGAAATGTTGGTAATTTGTATCTTAATCAGTTTTAATTGTTGGTCTGTCGTCTGCAGTGGCTCCCGGAGAGCGCCCGTTACAACATGACGATAGGTTACCACAACAAGGCCCAGGAGACGTTGGAGAGGATCGCCAGGGAGAACGGGAAACCAATGCCACCTGGGATGTTAGTGGAGCCGCAAATTCAGGTATTTTTGTCAGGTGTTCTTTTCAGGTATTCTTGACAGGTGTTCTTGTCAGGTGGTCTTATCAGGTGGTTTTGTCACGTGGTCTTGTCTGGTGGTCTTGTCAGGTTTTAGAATTTAAAAAAACAACAACAACTAGAATTTGAAAGGAATTGTATAGAAAGAACATTGAGTCAGGTAAGGCAATCTGAATAGAAAGTTATTCTCGGCTATTGCCTCTGTTGTCATTTTCTTTTCGCTTTTGATTTCATCTTCAGGGTGTGAAGCGTGGCAGATTCAGAGACCTGTTCATTAGAAGGATAAGGCTAACAACAATACTGATGTGGACCATCTGGTAGGTCTGATGTTAGATTCAATGAAAATTTACCGCACAGTATCTCATATTATTCTACAGATTAGTAACATATACATACATGTATGAATATAGGAGCCAAAATGATCAATAAATTGATCGTGGGCCCTTAAGATATAGAAGAAGAAGAAGAATTACATGCTAAGGGTTACGTAACAGATACCTAAAAGGTAACTAAGGATACTAACACATGAAGAGGATACTTCCTAGATACCTGCAAGATAACTAACAGATACCTAACTGATAACTAAAAGATCGCTACTTAAAATTAAATTTTATATATAAGTAAATATATAATGTAAATTTGCATTAATATATAAATATATATATATATATATATATATATATATATATATATATA